ACTTTATAGTTTAATTTTTGACAAATTCTAAAATATTATATTTATAGCAGTAATTACAAAACATTCTTCTTAATCCTGTCTTCTGTAAAAATATTTAAATAATTTTTTAGTTAGCTGATCGTAAGGTCAGAAATAGTTATAGTCTACTATATAAGCTGTTTTTATTACGTACTCTTTAATGTTTATGAAACATTTATTAATTTCTGCAACACATGAGTTGCAACTCATGTGTATCTTAAGATATTCGTAATTTTTGAAGTAGTTGAAGTTTTAAAGTAATATTACCGAAAAAAGATGCATATTTGAAGAATTTTTTTTTTTTTAAATTCTACTTTGTTTTTCACGCAATTTCATCTATTTTAAATGATTGTTTTTCACGCAATTTCATCTATTTTAAATGAAATAAAATTTCTGTTGCAGAACTAGTTCATTAAGTTCCTATACAATAGCTATCAATACTGTGGTCAGCTAAATAATTTTCAAACTGCATTTCAAATCAAAAAAATTACNACTAAAATTACCCCCCCCCCAAAAAAAAAAAGTGCAATTAATCACACTATCACTTAAACAGAATTTTTTTTTACTGTCAATAATACAAATTTAAATTTTTTGTTTAAGTTATACCAGTTTTTATTATTATTTCTGGAAGCATTATTTAAAAAAATTAAATAAAAATTGCTTTTGATATATTATGACTGATAACTATGGAATTAACAGTCAGGAGAAAAGCAGGAAAAAAAGTGTAATAAGATGCACCATTTAAACAATTATCTAAATTTAACAACCGAGACTATTATGTCAGTTGAGCCTGAATTTAATGTAATGAAAAATTTGTTTGAATGTAGTTAGATATTATTTAAATGCTGAATCAACATACACAGATTAATTTGACTCAAAAAAAAATTATTTACTATATTGTGATATAATAATCAGATATAGACAATACTTTTCCAAGTTTTTAAACACTTGCTTTTAAAAACGAAAATAATCAAATTTAATGTATTATATTAAATTACATAACTTTTGTTACTTTCAACTTATCACAAAATTAAATCACTAATTGTTTAAAATAAGTATATACAACTGTAGAATGAGATAAAAATTGAAGATATTAAAAGATCCTTTGCATAAACTTCAATTTAATCTCAGTGTTTTAAATAATGTTGGTTACAACATCTAATGACCTCTGAACTAATAATTCATTACGTATCAATAGGTGACTCAATTGCTTGAGTTAGTTGTTCAATAAATAGTATTTTCTAAGTGGTGCTTTTTTCCAGCGCAATATTTTAATATTACGCATACGTACTGTTTAGAATAAATTATGTTAAATTAAATGGAATAATTAATACTAGTATTTAATCAAGCTGTTGAATTTTTCTGATTTAAAAGATGAAAAACAAATGAAAAAATTTATACTTACACAAATGAACATAACTTACTTCGTATCCTATTTTATTCATCATCATTTCTAGATTGAAATATTACTGGCACATGAGAAAGATCTATATTTCAGATATTTAGCACTTGCTTTTTTTTCTTCTTCCCTTAATGTTTTACTTGCTAAATATGGCACATTCCATTTCTTTTAATGCTATTTTATTATTTTAATTTTAGTAGAAACTTTCCCCCAAGACGAAACATTATGAAAATAAAATGTAGACTTATAAATATTAACTGGCAGCGAAATTATTTCGCGTATTTTTTTAAAGCAACTAAATTTAATTTGAAATTAGTGAACTGGAAGTGAAAATTCATTTTTATGAAATAAATTTCATATGTATTTGAAAGATTTTATCTTCAATATATTTCATTTTTCAAGTTCATNTCTTTGATTTTCTAATCATTTACTTATATCAAAGTAGTCATTACGTATGTAAAATTTCGTTTCATTTTGACGACTCCTTCTAGGTGCGCTAATTTTTTTTGTCCATGAGTGTATATTAAAACTTCTCTTTAAATTTATATTAATGTGAATGACAATTGCTGCAGTCACCAACAATATTTTTAATAGCTCCAAATAGTATAAATTCATTCGGATTTAAAAATATACTGTACAGAGTAAAATTGTTACATTTAATTTTGAGAGTTTTTATTATTGTACAAATTGATGGCATAATTTTTCGGGAATATTCCAGTGTTTTTAACGTCATTGATGAAATTTTTGCGCAAAATGTATAAGTCACAACACAACTCATATACTTATATGATGTAAAGTATCAGTTACTTCGAAAAAGAATAAAAAAGACAGTGAATTGTTATTTGTTCGTCCAGTATCAGTTATTTTTAATTTTCAGTTAAACGTAAACTAAGAATACTTAAAATATCAGTGTAATAAAATTTGCTAATAAAAAATACGAATAAGGCTATAATTTTCTATCAGTGAATTTAACTTTAAAAAAAAAAATCTAACTTTAGATATCAATTTGAATATAAAAATGAAAAGTAGAAAATATTCATCGTTTTCTGCTTTAAATAACATACGTTTTTTTTAAAAATTTACTTAATGAAAGTGTAAAAAAACGTAATGATGCTGTAGCATTGCAAAAATCCTTGTCAAAAAATACACATAAAGGGTCGCAAAGTAAGCAGAAACGATATCAACGAACAAACATTGGGGCAAGCCTAACTGAACACATCAAAACATGTTTGGTTGCCGCAGGGAACGGCATAGATAAAAGACGTTTCATAGAAATATCTCAATTTTTAAGAAGTAATCAAACGGTTTTTTATGTTTTTAATCCCACTTTCCTAGAGAGCAATCAATGGTATTTTTTCTCACTTAAATATTTATTTGCATATTTCCTAATATCTGTAATTCCCTGATAATGTGCTTTCTAGTTTTATTTTTGGCAAATTCTAAAATATTATATATATATAGCAGTATAAACAAAACATTCTTCATAATCCTGTCAAAATATTTAAATAACTTTTTAGATAGCTGATCGTAAGGTCAGAAATAGTTAACAGTCTATTATATAAGCTGTTTCTATTACGAACTCTTTAATGTTTATGAAACATTTATGAATTTCTGCTACACATGAGTTGTAACTCGTGTGCATCTTAAGATCTTAGTAATTTTTGAAGTAGTTGAAGTAATATTACCGAAAAAAGATGCATATTTGAAGAAAATAATGTAGACAAGTCGTTCATGGGCTGCAATAGTGGCACATCTCAAAAAACACGGGTTTTAGACTAAGAACAGGTGTAAAAATGAAAATACATATTCTTTTCAGCAGCAATACTAGCACAACTCATAATTCAACTTGAAGGTAATCTTTGTTTAAGCAAACTAAAGCATTTCTTATGCATTTTCCTTAGCAATGAAAACTTTAAATCCGCTAATCTCAAAATGCCGCTTTTGCAGGCCATGAGCGAAGTGTTAAACTATCTTTAATTCTTAAGTATTTCTATTTTTTTTTAAATTTTACTTTATATTTCACGCAATTTCATCTCTTCTAAATTAAATAAAATTATTATTACGAAACTAGTTCTGTAAGCTCTTATACAATAGCTATCAATACTAGAGTGTTAAATAATTTTTAAACTTCATTTCAATTGAACCCCCCACAAAGAAAAAGAAAAAAAATTCAATTAATCACACTATCACTTAAACAAACAGAAGTTCTTTTTTTTCTTCTTTTTTACAGTCAATAATAAAATTTTAAATTCCGTGTTTAAGTTGTACCAGTTTATATTATTATTTCTAAAGCATTATTTAAAAAAAAATAAAATAAAAATTGCTCTTGATGTATTATGACTGATAACTATGGAATTAACAGTCACATTAGTACAAAATATAGATCTAAATTTAACAACCGACAAATTTAACAATTATCTAAATTTAACAACCGACTCTATTACGTCAGTTGAGCCTGAATTTAATGTAATAAAAAATTTGTTTATGTAGCTTGATATTATTTAAAAATTTAATCTACATTCACAGATTAATTTGACTACAAATAAGTATATTTATCGTATTGTGATATAATAATCAGATACAGACAATACTATTAAAAGATTCTTTGCTTCAACTTCAAATTAATCTCTGTATATTAATTAATGTTTGTTAAAATATCTAATGACCTCTGAATTAATATTTCATTACGTTTCAGTAGGGTTCAATTGCTAGAGTTAGTTGTTCAATAAATAGTATTTTCTAAGTGGCGCTTTATTTTTCAGAGCAATATTTTAATATTACATACTGTTTAGAATAAATTATGCCAAATTAAATGGAATAACTAATATTAGTATTTAATCAAGATGCTGAATTTCTGATTTGAAAGATGAAAAACAAATGAAAAAATTTATACTTACACAAATGAACATAACTTACTTCGTATCCTATTTTATTCATCATCATTTCTAGATTGAAATATTACTGGCACATGAGAAAGATCTATATTTCAGATATTTAGTACTTGCTTTTTTTTCTTTTTCCCTTAATGTTTTACTTGCTAAATATGGCACATTCCATTTCTTTTAAGGCTATTTTATTATTTTAATTTTAGTAGAAACTTTCCCCCAAGAGAAATTATTTCACTTATTTTTTTAAAGCAACTAAATTTAATTTGAAATTAGTAAACTGGAAGTAAAAATTCATTTTCATAAAATAAATTTCATATGTATTTGAAAGATTTTATCTTCAATATATTTCATTTTTCAAGTTCATTATACATAATCAAGGTCTCAATTTTCAATTATAATATTTCTTTCCAATTCAAAAATGAATTTCATGATGATATTTCAACAAAAGACTTATTTTGGAAAATGTTTTATATGTATTAATATATGGGCTTTATCATTATTAATTACTTATAAAGCAATTGTGGATTTATCTATTAATAAATGCACTTCTAAACTTTAGCGTTTAAAAATACTTAATTTTGACTCAATTCTATTATATATATATGAATGACTTATAAAAATCACTGCAATAGAATCAATTTTACACTTAAAATTAATTATAAGACAACTTGTAGAAAAACATAATACAAATGTAGAAAAAACAAAAATTTATTGAATAACATAAGAATAAATATATAAATAAGTGATTGTAATAAATATCGTTAACAAAATAAATTCTAATGCTTGATGAGATTAACAACAGAATGAGTAAGAATGAACATTATAATTCTTCGAAAACATCGTTTTATAATGTAGATTATGTCAATCGTAAAAATTTTTAAACAAAGCTCAGTAACATAGTAATTACTGGTGAAGTATGCAACAATAAAATGAAGAATTGAGGTAATGACAGTAAAAGTTAAAAGAAAATATTGAACAAATTTTAAAATTAAAGTCTTTGACAAGAAATAGATCAGAAAATGGTAAGATTGGATCGATTTATCAAAATCGATGTATGTAGAAGAATCAAAGCTAGTTTTGACAATTCAGTTCATAAGATAAACAAGTAAACATCATACCGGCGTACACCTTCAAAGCATCCTCAGTCCCAAGAAACATTTTGGCACTCTTACATAGTTGGTAGAAATTGATTTTCAGCAGGTTGCGAAGAGAATTGCTCTAGATTGGACTGCCTATCCAGCACCTTTGGCGAGGGCAGTAGCCGTCATCACCTGCCATGGCTGTAGATATGTATCACGATGTCTTCTGGTTGCCAAGATAGGTTACAGAAGTCCAGAGTACCGAGTTCACCGGATTTCGATTGAGGATCTGGAAGCCCGGGTAACATCTTCCGTTGATCCAGAGGTATCCTTGGTTCGGAAGGCCCTTTTGAGTTTATCCAGAACTTTGCTGTGGAATTTTTGCAAGGAAATGTCAGATTTGGCTGTTCTAGTGTAAGCAGGAGTGTGGGAGTGTCTGGGAGAACTTAGGAAGGAAGCACCAGCAGGGGAAGTGGACAGGCTGTGTCCCCTGGACTGCTGGGGAGTACCAGACTTGGTACTTGGGCAGCTGGCATACAAGTTGTAATCATTTTTCACAACAGGCATCATGAAAGCCATTTTTAATTGAGAGTTGAAAAATCGAACAAGTCCCAAAAGTGTAAATGAATCGTCAAAAATTTGACAAGTCTCTTAAGACAATATCCAAAAGAGAATTCGATGCAAGATCACAAGTTTATAACTTCTCTAGGCGTTTCAACGAGAGAGTGTGGACTTGTTGGAGGCTCGTCCTCGTTTATAATAGCTCGGATCAAAGGGGAGGGAGCTGGCAGAGATCCAAATGACTGGCGCCAGGCAGACAGATCAGGAACACGAGTTGCCAAGGTCAGGAAGGCCCGAGCAAGTCTGGGGGGGAAGAAAGAGGGATGTTATCTCTGCCGCAACTAGTGGCGCGCATTCCAAAATGATTCTTTAATACAAAATGTGATTGATGGATGAATTATTTCATTTGTCGCCGTCTGCCTTTATTTATTTTTTTTAAACGAAAGAAAATTCTGAGAAGAAAAAAATCTGTGGAAATGGAAGAGTTAATGTTTATTTATCTCTTCTCACCAATTAAAGCTCAATTCACAAGAAAAAAAAAAAAACTTAACTTTTTCTACGAATGGCGTATTCAATTCAAAAAGTTGTAAGACTAGTATATTTTTTGTACATTATATAGTCGTATGTATATATACATACATATTTTGTCCTAGCATTTTTTTTTATTGTTTTAGTAAAGTATAGTAAAGTTTAGAGGAATTAAACGAAATTTTGGAAGTGAGATTTTTTTTAAGAAGGCAAATGGAATAAAATGAGAAGATAAAAAAAAAAAAAAAAAAAAAAAAAAAAAGGAAAAGTGGAGAACTGATTAGCAATTTCATTATTATTTAAAAAAAATAAAACAAGCAGAAATATTTTAGAAACGTATTTTTGCCTTTTCTTTCTAACTAGCTTGTAGGTAGATTTTGAAGTTTTTAAGCATCTCCTAAATTCAAAATCAAATGGAGTACAAAATAATTTCTCGAATTCAATCTTTTTAAAATTTAACCAATTTCCGAGAACTGCCCATATATAACCCAATTCAATATTCTTTAAACATGAAATAAAAATTCACAAAAATTTGCGACAACAAAAAATACTTTTTCGTTGACCCCTAATTATAAAGAACTTCACTGTTATTGTAATTAAGAGTCCCCTATTCGCTGTCGCTCACCAACCCCCATGCTTCCTTTGAAATAATTTTGTTTTCTTAGCTCAAATTAGATTGTTTTTCCGAAAGCTGAACTTTTCAATCTAAAATTTCAGTATTTTCGAAAATTTTACAGTTCTCCCACGTCTTCCCCCTCTAAAAGATTACTTATTATCAATTTGTCTGGTTCTTTTTATAAATAATGTTTAAAATAAAAGCAGTTCAATCCTCATAAACATATATTGTGAATTCAATCGCATTTCCTAGAAACATAATTGATATATATATATATTTTAAATAACCGTCGTTGATCAGCCGACCCTATTTTCGAGTTTACGATTACTAAAGTACTACTAAAGCATCTCCGTAGCCTTGTAATTTTGAACTCAATCTAGACGACAAGGGAACTCCTGGATCAAGTATTGATTGAAATTTGCCTTCATGGAGGACTTTTCGATGAAACTAACCCGCATTTGCGTTACATGGTGAGGAAAACCACGAAAGCCTCCCACAATTAGCCTGATGACAAGGGTACTCTCACCCATGTTCTATCTATCACTGAGGACATTTTAGGTCAGCACTGTGGTCAGTGCGAGTCGGGTGTGGAATTCGTATCGACCAGCCATCGCTGGGATTCGAACCCAGTTCACGTCATTGGAAAGCGAGCGCTCTATCCCCTGAGCCACCACGGCTCACACATAATTCAGTTCAACAATGCTTAACGCTTTATAACTTATATTTTTGATTAATAAGTAAAATAAAGAATAAATTTATAAAAAGAAAACAATAATAATATCTATAGTAACAATAATAATATAATAAATATTAACAATAATAATATAATATATATTAACAATAATAGTATAATATATTATAAAGAAAACGTATTCGTAAAAACAATAATAATATAATAGTTTACCAGTTACCTAGACAAGTATGGGCTCTAGGCTCGCCAGAGGTATTTTATTATTAGCTTACTTATAAGAAGTCGTGACGTAAAGTAAAAAAATTATTAAAAAAAACGTCTATTGCTGACTTTTTAGTGCTTTTTTTATCTAATAAATATTATCACTCTTTTTTACTCTTTCATTACTCTTTATTTATTAATTGTGTTATTTTTCTCGTTTAAAGTTTTTATATCAAAGCTTTATACAAAGCAAGGAAATAATGCTATTTTCTTTCTGAAATCATGCACCGATAATCAGGCCTAAACGACCATGTCATGTGTTATGTAATTTATTAGAGCAATAAGAATACCTAAAATCATCACCACCTCATTCAGTTTTCTAGTAATAACAAAATATTTTTTGAATCTAGTTTAGTGCATTTTTTCTTATCATGCATCGTGCGTTTTCTGAGTTAGTAAAAATTTTGTTTTTCCTCTTTTAACTTTTTTTTTTTTTTTTTTTTAAACTTCATCTGTCACAGGAAGTNTTTATTTATATTTTTTTTTTTTTTTTTTTTAATTTCCCATAAATATTTTTTTCCAACTCTATTTTTTTTTTAAACCGTTTGATTGTAAAAAACCATTGTAAAAATTTTCGTTCGTTTGTTTAAAAAAAAAAAAAAAATTAAACCGTGCTAATAAATTTAAAAAAAAATATTACTTATGATATGCAGGACCTTAAAGAAACTGAAAATTTTAACTCAACGTTTTGAATCATCGAGTTAGTTTGAAATAAAGTTTGAATAAATTAAAATTATTTAAACTTTTTACTTCTCGTTTGGCTTTCACTTTTATGTATGTAAAAACATACACATATTAATCATAGATTTACTGTCTAAAATCATATCATACGTCACTTTACACATATAAACGAATTTTTTTCAATTGATGTTAGTTTTTTTTCTTTCTTCTTCTTACGATTTTCGTTGTCTTTTCATTCAAAGAAGATACTAAAAGTTGAGCAATGTCATCTGTTGGCGAACAAATAACCGGGTGAAACTGGAAAGCTGGAATAAGTTAACGATTCCACTAGCTGAGCGTTACGCGTTACTCATAACTAAATACACCTGATTACACAATGAATTCACCTTCAGTTTTATTGTCTCTTTCCCTTTGTGTTATAATTCTGCAGGACTTCTCGTAAAATGATAAAAATTTGGATCTTGTTTGAACACACGTGCGTCATAAAGTTTTATGCAGTTGATATAGGTGTTGAAAAAGCACACACCTAACGAATTTCATGCCAACTGTCACGAATTGTCATTTGCATTAAAAGTGAAGATAAAGGTCATTCTCTATATGTTAAAGAAAATTTACTGCCCATATAAAGTTGCTGCACCATACTTGCCTCAGATTCCGAATTTAACGCAGTCTCGGTTTTTAATTCAGTTAAACTTTTTTTTCACCGCGGTTGCATTTCAACAATTAATTAATAGTTTTTTAAGTATCAAATTATTTTTTATTTAACTGTGAGTGAACCGAGTTTTGCCTGACTTGCACGGGTAGTGTTCGGCGCACTTCCTATCAATCGATGTTCCTTGATGTTTTTTTTTTTTTTTTTCAATTTGGTTTGTGAATTTTAATGGTAATCCCAGCTGTGCGCCTTGAATTTAATTAGAATTTCGCTACGGAGAATTTCAATGGAGATGCCCAAACAACGTACAGTGCGAAAAAAAAAGAAAAAACGGTAAAGAAAAATAGTTTTTGAGAAATCGAATTTTAAAAATACATTTTTAAAAATTTTTTCCACTATTTCACAAGTATTCGACCGATTTTGCATTTTGCCACGTAATTTTACATTCTTTAAAATTAATGTCAATTTCTTTTCCTCAAATTTTTTCTCAATGTGACTCAAATTTTGTGTTTTGCCATGTAAAATTACTCTTTAAATTGATGTTAAAAAATTGCATACCTTACAATTCTAAATTCTTCGATTATTATTAAATAAACTGATAAAAAATAAATAATTACTTAAAAAATAATAAATAAATATTTTTTTCCGTGGAATTATCTTCCGACTAACAAATTTTATAATTGTGTGCAAAAATGTTTCTCTACAATTAAAAAGTTCTCGAGATAGAGAGAAATACGCAAAAAGTAAAATTAACATTATAGGGTTCAAGTTTTCTCTCCTGACAAAACAATTAGGATCCTATTTCCCAGATTGCGGCTACCCCCCATATTTTGGGAGTCAGAAATCCAAATAAGTCGAAAAAAATGTATGTTTAATCAATGAAAGCCAGTTATTATGTCTGATTTTGTAACTTAAAATATCATCTTCACTAAATAATTAGCATATTTGAAGTCGTCCCCTCGAATCATTAAGAATGAGTCCTAGTACATGAAGATCCGATCATTGATCAAAAGTTATTTAGGGTGTCCGTTTATTTAATCAAGAAAGTTAAGACAATGGTTAAAAATAAGATATCGGGACGCCATCTGATGATGCCAAGATCCATCTGGCGTGTTACCTGAAAGTCCACCAAAAAAGAAACTACACATATTCCAAATCAGTGACAACTCGAAGATCATATAAGAAATATAATTTTTTTTCTTTAAAAAGTCGATATTTAGAAAATAATTTGTTAATAACTAAGCTAAAAAGAAAACGTTTCACTGAATGAATTGAATTAAAAATTGAGATTTCATTAAATTCGAAATTTGATGTAAAGATGATTAATATCATAGAACAGTGGTAAATTTTTCAGTCGGGAAACGCCAAAATCCCAACATTTTAAGCACTTTTTTTTCCTTCTTAAAAAATACCACGCAGAAGTATTTAAAAAACTTTTGCTCCCAACTGCATTTGGTTTAAAATTCTCTAAATCATAATCGCTTTTAAAAAAAAAAGGGTTTTTCACATTTAATTTGAAATCATAGCATAATCTAGTGCTCACTAAAAGATAAATATAACAAAACATTAAACATTACACATACGCATTAATTTTTAGTCCATTTAATTTTTAAACATATATTTACTTACATTCCGGATTTAATAATGGAAATTCTAATCATAATTACTAAAATAATTTTATCTTGATAAAAAAATGCAAAACTGAAGAAAAATGATTTTTTATCGAAAAAGTGCGGTTGCGCCGTTTCACCAAGAATCGCCATTGCTACACAACGTTACTGCGGTCGTCAACGCT